ATATATATATATATATATATATATATATATATATATATATATATATATATATATATAATGCATTATAATAATTAACACATTTTAAATCACTCATGGTCACTGAACATAATAACAGGAGACAATAATATAAAGCAATAATTAAAACATAACAGCAACACATCTGTAGTGGAGTAATAAAAATAAGTCTGAATGCAGTTAACCTAAATATACCAAACTCAACCAAAATAGTTATTGTATGATTAGTTATTATTTATTTAAAAATAACACACAAACACACACACACACACACACACACACACACACACACACAGTTGAAGTGTTATTAGCACCCCTGTTTATTTTTTTTCCCCAATTTCTGTTTAACGGAAAGCAGATTTCTTCAACAAAAATCTAATCATAATAGTTTTAATAACTCATTTTTATTAACTAATTTATTTTATCTTTGCCATGATGACAGTAAATAATATTTGACTAGATATTTTAGAAGACACTTCTATTCAGCTTAAAGTGACATTTAAAGGCTTAACTAGGGTAATTAGGTTAACTAGGCAGGTTAGGGTAATTAGGTAAGTTATTGTATAACGATGGTTTGTTCTGTAAACATTCAAAAAATATAAATAGTTTGAAATTAAATTTAATAAAACTTTCTCCAGAAGAAAAAAATATTATCATTATCATTTGGGAAATATTAAAAAAAAGAAAAAAATCCCATTAAGATAAGGCAACTCAAACTTGAGAAAACTGATTGCTACAAACCGTTTGAGTTTAAAAACTAATCTATATGAGTATGGTGAACTTGCTCCATTTAGGTTGAAGTAATGAGGTATTTAATGGACTCATTACATCAGCAATGAGTTTAAAAGTCGATGAGTAGAATTAACTTTGATTTAACTGCACTCATTTCATTTGATAAAGTTGACTGTTGTACATTACAGTGTGTACATATGTGTGTGTACAGTCAGTAGATATATATAACAAAAAGAAATAATTACATCAAACAATTTTAACTCCGGTGTAAATCTCCAGTGTACAGTATCCTACTAAGAGCCAGCTGAGAACCACTGATCTAGAGCCACATCAGAACACTTGCTGCGTTAAACACACAGAGAGTAAACAGAAAACCCAGCACTCACAAGAAGAACTTCTCGTCCCAGACAGGGTTGAGATTGCCGAACACGGTCTTGGTCCTGCGTTTGGTCTTTCCCACTTGTACCGTGACGTAGGGGTCGCTGGAGCCCGTCTTGTCTTTGGCTTGCAAACCTTGAGCACATAAAACTGGAGAAAGAAAAACAGAAGAGTAAATTCTAAACTCATGAAACAAGCAAGAAAACTATCTGCATGACAGATAAAAACGCTATTGTCTGAAGAATTAGACATTTAGAAAGCTGTTCCAGCACTATACAACCATACTGACAGGCTTCAGACTGCCAGATCATTCAGCTGCAACCTGAATACATGACACTGAAAAATGTCAAACCGCCGGTACAAGAGACTGCGGAAACAATGAGAACTAACTAAAGAAAAGAGAAACATAATGCATTATCTGAGACTTCATAACGCTCCAGAGCAAGTTTTCAGTATTTCTGAGATATCATGTCTTTGTGTTGTTGTGCACTGAAGAGTACATGACTGCTGGAAGTTACTAAAGGATTTTTGGGTAACACTTTATAATAACTAAACACTATAGCCCCTTTCACACATACAGACCTTTCCGGAAAATTGCCGGCAATTTTCCGGAAAGGTTGTACGTGTGAACAGGTCCTTTTTGAAAATACCGGTAAATTCGTTCTGGCTATTTTCCGGGAAGAGAAGTTGTAACATTACCGGCAATTTGCCGGAATGCTGCGCTGTGTGAATGCAGAAGGAAGATTCCCGTAATAAGCGCGTGCACGTCTAGAACGTGCTGACGTGAGACGTCTGCTTTAGCCAATCACAACAGTCAGACGCAGGTTTATGAGAATAAATTTACGTGCGCGCGGTTTATGAGCATAAATGCCTTTGAATATTTTCCCAGACGCGTTTAGCTGCTAGAAGTTTGTCAGATCACGTTTATATGTTCTTCTTTATGTCAACTGTGTAAATAATCTTCGATGAGATGCTTATGTTTGTTTACCTTCAAGCTTCAGCCTGTGAGCGCCTGCACACGCACATGTTATGAACATCTCGACATGCGAAAGTGATCCTGCGAAAGTTGTTCACAATATTGATCATCCACAGAGTTTGTAATTTAGTCAAATGTTTACAAATACAAGCGCAGCCTTTTAAGGCTCATTTGTGGTGAATGATGTCAGAATTTACCGGTATTTTGGAATGGATGTGTGAATGCTCTTTTCCGGAAAATTTCCGTAACGTCCTCGCCTGTGTGAACAGTGCTTTTTTCAATATACCGGTAAAGTCGTTCCGGAAATTTTCCAGATATTTACCGTTATCACTGTGTGAAAGGGTTGTATGAATCATTTAATAAGCATCAGCAAAATTCGGCAGAATTCATTATCTGTTAAGCATTAACTCTACATTAGTAAGCAGTTTATAATTGCGGCTACAAATGCTGTATTCTTGACTAACAAACATATTTAAAATGTGCTTAATAATTGTATTTTCATACTTAGTTAATGATTTATTTTTCATTACTAAATTAAATAATCGCATCATTTACAAACCATCTGTATTTAAGAGTGGTTGAGGGTTTTTAGGATCCTTCAGAATGAGTTAGTAAATGATTAATAAACTTTTGAAATCAACATATATATAACTTATATACAATTAATTAATAAAAGGCATGATAATACTTTATTGTAGGAAAATAAGCATAATATAGAGGCATTTCCCTTTCATATAAGCTACTTCTGATACCAAATAATCAACTGGAAGTCAAGTTATCATTTGCTGTTCCTAAAACTTGGATAAGCGACAAGACTTTTATCAGGTAGTGTAGAGCAGGGGTTTTCAAACTGTGGGTCGCCGTTACATTGTGGTGAATCAAAACCAGTACGATTGACGGCAATAACTCAAAAACCTCTAACCCTAAAAATATCTAAAGTGTGTTTCCTACAAAAAGACAAAGCTGGTTATGTTTCACAGCTGTCTTTTTCTTTTTTTCGCTTGACATTACGAGCACTGCTCCGTTTGAGCCCTCGCAATCTGCGTTTAGCCGATAGAGCTTGTGCTGAGCGGAGCTCTCAGTAAGGGACCGTCGGAAAAGGGCTTCTGTTTTTCGTTTTTTTTTTTTTTTTTGCTCCGTCCTGCGCGTTTTATTTAAAACTTAACTAATTTTCTCTTAAACGAGCACAAACAGTTACTAAAGTATGCTTTATTATAGATCTGTTTATTCCTCTGTTATCAAACAAAACACAATGACAGATTCATCTGCTGCTCTTCACTAAATAACTATGGTAACTTTAATCCATATGCAAATACAATCAAAAGTGGAATAGATTTTATAGCTTTATTTAATTTCAATTTATTGATTTTAATAGGCTAAACCTTTTATTTTATTGTTAATATTTTCTCATGTTTGTTATGTATTCTATCATTTTAAGCTATTTGTTGTCCCATATTTTTTATATCCCAACGTTGACAGATAGCAAATCAATAAATTGCTATAATGCTATCTGTTAGTTTTAACATCACCCAATGTTATTGAAGGGCATAGATGTTATGGAAAATAGTAATAGTAATGTAACTTCCCCCATCATTCCTTCCTCAAGCAAATATGTAAATATTAGATCAATTCAGCTATAATGTTAATTGCATTGGCATATTTATCTGACGTTTTCCCAGCTTGTAGTAGTCGATCAAAAAGCGATTTAGTTACTTATGACTACACTAGCAGTGGAGTTTACTGCGATGTGACGGGGCTTGATCATAATCAAGGTGCTCGATCAAAGGTTGATCATATTGTCTTCTAAAAACGTAGAGTATCTTTTTCAACAACAAATAAATATCACTGTTACGGCCAGCATCCCACAAAAAGCACTTGGAGCCTCATTTTGTGCATATCAAATTGCAAAATCCGAAAGGCCACACACCATATATTTTTGACTGCTTTGAATGGATACATTTTTTTACCCATCTTTCCATATTAAAATATTATGGTGGGTCTTGAGATTGAATTACTTGCCTATGTGGGTCCCGGAATAAAAAAGTTTGGGAATCCATGGTGTAGAGCAGTGGTTCTCAAAGTGGGGGTCGGGACCCCCCGAGGGGTCGCGGGGCAATGAAGGGGGGTCGCCTGGTGATTTCCAAAAATCTATTTATTTTTATTGAACCATAAGAATTAACATATTTTATCTATCGCTTTGCTGAAAATAAAAATAGTCGTTTATAGTTACTATATACTATATAGTTACTATAGTAGCTTATAGTTACTAGTTCTATTGGATTGCGACCCCTGGGGTAATTACATTATATTAAAGGCAGCAATAGCGTCTGATGCATTTTGATTTTATAACACCAGGTTATACTTTCTGGCACATTTAAAGCACAGACACACGTTAAAAAAATTTAATTGGTGTGTCTGCGTCATTGCATGCAAGGTTTCTGTATTTATAACCACCTCAGAGGATATTGGGGGTCGCGAGTCACTGACATTGTTATTTTGGGGGTCGCGGGCTGAAAAGTTTGGGAATCCCTGGTGTAGAGTATATGCAATACACCCTAAATAATGAAATCATCAATTCAGAACAGAGCAATGTGCAACAATCCAGCATGAAAGCAGTGTGTCTCCTCACTCTAAACTCAGTCAATGGGGATGCCATCCGTCACCAGCCCATAGTAGTTCACAGGAAGCTCTGAACTCATTAATTATGAAGGAGAGCGCTGTTCAATTATTCAGGAAACATATATCCTTGGGCTTGGAGACAGACAGAGATTGGTGCAATGTCACCGGCCTGCTGGAAAAGGGTAATATAGTCTGAAGAGTTCAAGTGAAATTGAAAGAGCGAAGGCGTCTTTGAGTGTTTGTGTTTCTAGAGATGTGTTGTTTACACATTGAAGGGAAGTAGTTTGACTCACAAACATCGTCAGGTTGTTTTTTAGGTGTATTGCACAATAATATGTGTGTAAGTGAGGCGAGTGCGAGTATTTTCAACGCTCCAACTACTTAAAAACGCAGAAACTGCACAATTTCAATGCGTGTGTGTTTGCTGGACAGTCTTTTACTGACACTTACAGCAGAAGCCCCTATTTAACAGCAATTGAGAGAATGAAATTAAACTCCATTTCTCTTTCTCTGTAGCCCATTTGACCTGCTGGCGTGCTTTTCCTCTCCTCTCGGCTGTTACTTTAGTACTTTTGGATACAGACACAAGCGCGTGTCTGGAGAGTTTTCTCCACCGTGTCTATCATGGATCAGCTGTGATCAGTGTCACTCATCAGTGAGGAGCGCCAGCAAGTTTTCTTACACCTCTTTGATTGGCCATGTGCTCAACAGAATGGGCTGCTATTGGCTCTTACGCACTGGTGCTCTTCACAGATGAGGGACACTGATAACGGCAGCGGCGATCACAGCTGATTCATGATAGACACGGTGGAGAAAACTCTGCAGCGAACACACACACACACACACACACACACAGTGAAATTGTGCACAGTTTCTGCGTTTTTAAGTAGCTGGAGTGTTTTAATTACTCGCGCTCACCTCCCTCGCCATAGTAAGCTACGGCAACATAGCGTATATGAGATAAATGATGTCAGTACATAATAACCGGTTATGATTACTGAACCGATACCGAACTGTTCGCGTCTGCATCACGGTGCACCGAAGAAACAATTCATTTTGACCGAACTGATGGCATGACAATCATAACCAAAACAAACCATGAGACCAGTGTAGGTTCCCACCTATAAGATGCAATGTAACTTTCATCAAGCGGACCATCATAATAAAGAGTGTCCTTGTTTTTTTTTAAGTCAGGAAAATCCAGGAATTTATAATGTTTTTATTTATAAATATATATTTATTATAAATAATTATATAAGTATATAATATAATCGTTTTATAATACTAATAAATATAATGCAAAAATATATAGTTCTTAAATCAATATTTAAATTCAAATCTTATGCCATTTTTCATCACTACAACAACAATAATAAATGCATCCATTAATAAAAAAATAAAATGAAAAAAACGAACAAGTCATTTTCTTAATGACTGTTTTTTTTAAAGACAAAAATGCTTCATCAAAACTTGTATTAATTATATAAATAAATAATTTAATAATATTATAATCTTAACAACTGCAAAAAAATGTTATAGTTTACATTTTTTATCAAGTAAAAATACTATTAATTCATTAATTTTCTTTTTGTTTTAGAACCTTTATTAATGAGGCGTCGCCACAGCGGAATGAACCGCCAACTTATCCAGCATATTTGTTATGCAGCAGATGCCCTTCAAACTGCAACCCAGTACTGGGAAACACCCATACACTAATTCACACACTACGGCTAATTTAGTTCATCAATTCCCCTATAGTGCATGTGTTTGGACTGTGGCGGAAACCGGAGCACCCGGAGGAAACCCACACCAACACAGGGGGAACATGCAAACTCCACACAGAAAAGCCAACTAATCCAGTCGAGACTCGAACCAGCAACTTTCTTACTGTGAGGCGACAGTGCTAACCACTGAGCAGACTTAGCTTTAGCTTTAAGTCATGTTTCTATATTTTCAGTGGTAAATTAGACATGTTCGCAGTGCACGGTCACCTGCTTGACATGTCAGTGTACTGTTTGAGGACAACACATCAGAATTCACATCAGTGTGTGTGTTTGAGAACACTGACAAATAAATAAGTGTGTGAACACGTTCTAAAGCTGGAGTTTGGATCTCCAGGACACAGAGAGCTGTTTCTCCATCTCTGTGTGTGTGTACTATTGACACTCCAGACCTCACAATAACTCACAGCCTCTGTCGATCCACAAAGTCAGGTGAAGGAGCATCACACACACACACACAAAACACACGCACACACACACACAGTGTTATTGGAAGAAAGCAGCAACACTTAAACACACTCACTCAAGGACACATGCACAAACACTAAGACACAGACACACACAAGCGCACACACACACACACACACACACATGCACACACACGCACGAACACTAATAGACACACACGCAAAACAATTACACACAATTACAATCGCACACTCACAGACACACGTGAACACACTAACAGACCACTCACTCACAGACACACTCACACACACACTAATAGACACATATGCCGAACAGACACACACAAGTTCTCACAAGTGTAGACACACACAGAGTGTTTCTGGAGGAAAGCAGTGTGAGGACACACATCTGCAGATGGACAGAAACACTCCTCTATGAGTCAGACTGTGTCGGCCTGCGTTTCTGTCCACAGCAGATGGTTGTTGTCGTCTGGCGGTTTGAGCTGTCAGAAAACAAGCAAAACTCTCGGCACATTTCCCACAGAAAAATGAGCAGCACTTCCTCACCGCAGGCTCTGATTCAGCTACCGGCACCAGAGACGCCGCACAATACACATATCAAGACCACAGCTCAGCAAACTCCACAACAAACTTGAGTCAGATTTATACTAACTAACTAACTAACTAACTAACTAACTAACTAACTAACTAACTAACTAACTAAATAAATAAATAAATAAATAAATAAATAAATAAATAAATCAGTGACATAGAGGCTCAATGGTTAGCGCTGGGTCAGTTGGCAGGGTCAGTGTCCAAACACATGCGGTACAGGTGAATAGGGTAGGCTAAATTTTCCATAGTGTGTGTATAAACGAGGGTGTATATGTTTCCCAGTGATAAGTTGCAGCTGGAAGGGCATTCGCTTCTTAAAACATTTGCTGGATAAGTTGACGGTTCATTTCGCTGTAATGACCCCAGATTAATAAAAGGACTAAGCCGAAAAGAAAATGGATGTATAAATGAATAATATAATATAATATAATATAATATAATATAATATAATATAATATAATATAATATAATATAATATAATATAATATAATATAATATAATATAATATAATAAACATAATATAATAAATATAATACAATACAATACAATACAATTTAATATAATAATATAATATAATATAATATAATATAATATAATATAATATAATATAATGAAATATAACATAATATAATAAATATAATACAATACAATACAATTTAATATAATAATATAAAATAATATAATATAATATAATAAAATATAACATAATATAATATAATATAATAAATATAATATAATATAATAAACATAATATAATAAATATAATACAATACAATACAATACAATACAATACAATATAATATAATATAATATAATATAACATATTAAACATAATATAATATAATATAATATAATAAACATAATGTAATAAATATAATACAATATAATATAATATAATATAATATAATATAATATAATATAATATAATATAATATAATATATTAAACATAATATAATATAATATAATATTATATAATATAATATAATATAATATAATATAATATATTAAACATAATATAATATAATATAATATAATATAATAAACATAATATAATAAATATAATACAATGCAATACAATACAATACAATACAATACAATACAATACAATATATTATAATATAATATAATATAATATAATATATAATATAATATAATATAAAAAACATAATATAATAAATAAAATATAATACAATACAATACAATATAATATAATATTATATAATAAACATAATATAATTAATATAATATAATATAACATAACATAACATAACATAACATAACATAACATAAGATAAGATAAGATAAGATAAGATAAGATAAGATAAGATAAGATAATAAATATAATATAATATAATATAATATAATATAATATAATATAATATAATATAATATAATATAATATAATATAATATAATATAATATAATATAATGAATATAAGGAAATCGCGCATCTCCTGCCCGGTCCTTAAATACGTTGCACACTCCTCTCCACCGCATCCCTCCTAGCTCTTCAGGTACGTCACGCGCAACTCACCCCCACCGCTCGTCAGGTATGTCTTGCGCGCACACGCCCCTACTCAGATACATCGATCAATCAACCCCTGACACAGACACACACAGAGACACACACACACAACGCGCCGGAGCGACTCCCTTCAGATTCAACACGCATGATCGCTCTGGATAGCCTGGTGATGCAACATTAATTGTTTTATACTGAAACTTGCCATCAAAAAGTACTCCCTTAGTCTTATCCATATTTCTTTGCATGTTGAAAACATCCACCACAACAGCAAGTAAAAAAAAAACCCTGCAATTGTGTTAATTTTTTTTTTATGCGTTAAATTTTTCAAATTAATCGCATGCGCTAAGGCACTAATTTTGACAGCACTAAATATAATACATTATAACAATTTAATCTAATCTAACCTAATATAACATAATATAATATATAATTGTATTATAAGTCTTGTCAAAAACAAGCCTTGGACAAATTTACCTATTAAAAATAAAGACCCTCTTCCATTCACTGCGCTACTAACTATGACAAAAAACTAGAGGAACTGTGAAAAGGTTTCTTTTTTGCTGACCTGTGATGGTGATTTTGGCGGACCACTTGGACGTTCCCTCCAGCACAGCCTGTTTGGCGGTCTTCAGATGAGTGATAAAGTCCTCTTTCGAGAGCTGGAACATCTCCTGAATGACCTCGAACACTTCGGGCCGGTTCTTCTCCCTGATCTTCATGCGCTCCTTCATGGCCATGATGATGTTCTGGGTTTTGTCCTCGGCTCCGTGTTTCGAGCTCTTCTCTACTGCACCTGTAGAGGATGATGCACAGTGTGATTTACAAATACAAGCGCAGCCGTTTAAAGGTCATTTCTGGTTAATGATGTCAGAATTTACCGCTATTTTGGAATGGATGTGTGAACGATCTTTTCTGGAAAAATTCCGAAACGTCATCGCCTGCGTGAACAGCGCTTTTTTAAATTTACCGATAAAGTCGTTCCTTAAATTTTCCATATATTTACCAGTATCACTGTGTGAAAGGGGCTTACAACTAGTGCTAGTTCTGTGTCCATGCTCACCGTCTATACCATCAGTCCCTATAGACCTTTTTCTTGGAACACAAAATTACCCATTATGCTTTGCGTGTATGCGCAAGGAGAATGCGAAGAACTTCCGTCGACAGCTGATGTGTGTAAACAGTCACATTTGGACAGCTTTGAAACGATAGTTTTAATCTATTTTACCTGCTTTTACCCGCTTTGAACTAATACTGTTGTCCATCAGCAGCATCTCCTGGACTGATCATTTACAGAAATGTGATCTAATAGGATGGAAAACAGCTGCTGTGAGGCGTTTTCCCCTCGTTGTCAGACGGCATCTTCTGCAGTTTAAATGAAGCCTCGTCATCGCTAAAGTCAACATTTTCTCTTTATTTCAAATATATAACCAGCCCAAACTAATGTAGTTCACCAAAATGTTTGACACACACACGTAGCCTGTACTGTGCCACTGACACACTGATTAAATAACTGTGACAAAGTGAAAATACAGGCTAGTGTCATTTCGAAATGACAGAAAAACACAAACCGTGGTGAAAACAACACACGAAATAAAACACAAACGGCTCGCCATTAGAATGAACAGCAAATCAGGCAGCAGAGGATCAATAACAGACTTTTATTGGTCATGTTTGTAAATTGCACAACTTTCATACCTGTTAAGTTTCATGCCAGTACTCTGGTTTGCGCTCTCTCTCTCTCTGTGTGTGTGTGTGTGTGTGTGCGCGTGTATTTCTGACGGCAGACACGTGAACTAGGAGAACGTTTTTCTCGTATTTCTGACGCGCTTGAACCACATGTGACAGATTATAACAGCTTTAACAGACACATTTCTAAGTTCAACACTGTTATCCATTAAAAACGTCATTGAAACCCATTTTCGGAGCACAAATTACCAGTTGTACACGCTGTAAACGGAAGTTTTTAGCATTCTACCGGAAGACGCTGGTCGCTATGGCGCCCTCCATGCAGCAGCCATGAAAAAGGTCTATATTAGTACACTAACACAGTCCAATTGAAGGACTGAATGAAAATTGAGCACTCAATATACAGGAAAGTGTAGTGTTTTGTTGTGCTTTGCTTGTTGATAAATCATTCAGATGGGTCAACATTTCAATTTCTTCGGTCAGACCCAGAGATATTTATTTTAGTGAGCTGTTTACCGCTAATGAAACAAAGTGTTTTGATTTCTGTCATCTATGCTTCATTTTGTAATACATTTACAGTGCCTATTTTTATTTTTGCTGGTTATTTTATGTCTACTGCTGTAAATTGACGTTAAGCACTACTTTGAGACATTAATCACAGCTAAAGAATGTTGAATACAAATTTGGTGGTGAACATTGTTTGTGCTAATAAAGGAGCAGTTAAAACAGACCAGTCAATTATGACTGGGAACACTTAAGTAAGGGGCGGGATGTGAACACAACAGGTTAACAGTAACACAACAAAATGTGTAGAAACTACAGTATTTAAACATCAAGTCCTATTAGACCAGGGGTCATCAATGTCGGTCCTGGAGGGCAGGTGTCCCTGCAGGGTTTAGCTTCAACTTGCTTCAACACACCCATAGATGTATACATTAGATGTCACCTGGCCTATTGTTGTCTATTAGACGGAATGCGTCAATAGCACCGCCATCTTGGTACAGGGTAGCGCTTCTTTGAAGTGAATGCGGGACCAAGGTACAGTGGAGGACTGTGGCCATGCAAAGCCAGAGATATACACATATACACATATATCTATGATCGGGAGTTTTCCTGGATGTTAGTATGTAATTTTTTTTTTTATTATTATTATTACGAAAATTATAATTTTACATCACTTTTCACATTGATGGATCAGCAGTGGCGTAGCGCAAAATGCGAAGGCCCCCCTGCAGGGATCACCCAGGGGGCCCCCAGTTGAAGGGGGGGGGGGGGGGGTTCAGTGATCGCATGGGCATTCCTGACAAAAAGCTTGTGTTTTTGTGTACAGAAATGTACTATTCACCCTCCCTGTTAAATCTGATCTAATCATGTCATGAAACACAGCTCCTCTCCTGCTTTCACTTGTCATACTGACGGGGGGAGCGATTTGTTCGTGAATGAATCTCCGTTATGAACTACTCGTTCACTAGCCGACAATAATACAAGTTTCTGGCAGCGCAGCATCTCGTTGTCATATTTCTTTTGCATTGTTTGCTGATTTTATTCAACAAAACTAGCATAAGACGAGTGTTTAGTGCGAGTTGGAGCTGCTTTGCCTTATGGTGAATGCAGTAAGTGACTGTTATCATCAATAACGTTACCTGATTAGCACAAATTTCAGAACATACAAAAAGTAAAAAAATTTAATATTACCTATGAAATGTTCTGCCTTTGTGCTTTGTTTTCTTTGTTTGCTTGTTTCTACACCCGTAGACAGCACTAAAGTCCCGCATCTTCACGTAATAACACTGTCTTCTCTAGTGCGGTTGAATGACATTTGTCCTGGGAGCACTGTACCAATGTGGCGGCGCTATTGACGCATGCTCAGGGTCCCTATGCGATATCTAGTGTATATATCTATGTCACAAATTGAGGAGCGGGGAAAGGAGGCGGGGTGGAGCGACAACGCGGGGAATCCTTCACAAACTGAGGAGCGATCACAAACCGAAAGCGGCGAGAGCGTCAAAGTAGCCAGAAGTCATTCATTTTTAACGAGAACCGGCGGCGAGAAACAGCGGCGTGTCTTTATTGGCTATGACTCCGTTCGGCGGCAAGCAATCAGAATGAAGTAGTCCACCGCTTAAGAGGAGTTCAGAGAACACAGACCTGTGAACTTTGGTTCCGACCACAGTTGTTCCCAAGAGTTTGATTATTGCGGTTCCTGGATTTTCAATTATTGAAAATCCCGACGACGTGGGGCCCCCTTATCACGCGGGGACCCCACGCGGTGTGTGCCCTTCGGGCCCGTCCGCTACGCCACTGTGGATCAGTGACCGCACGGGCATTCCTGACAAAAAGCTTGTGTTTGTGTGTACAGAAATGTACCATCAACCCTCCCTGTTAAATCTGATCTAATCATGTCCTGAAACACAGCTCCTCTCCTGCTTTCACTGCTCATACTGACGGAGGGAGCGATTCGTTTGTGAATGAATCCCCCAAACGACTCTTTTACTAACGTTAGCCGACAATAATATAAGTTTCTGGCAGCGCAGCATCTCGTTGTCATATTTCTTTTGCCTTGTTTGCTGATTTTATTCAACAAAACTAGCATAAGCTGAGTGTTTAGTGCCAGTTGGAGCTGCTTTGCTGTATGGTGAATGCAGTAAGTGACTGTTATCATCAATAATGTTACCCGTTTAGCACAAATTTCAGAACATACAAAAAGTAAAAAAATTTAATATTACCTATTAAATGTTCTGCCTTTGTGCTTTGTTTTCTTTGTTTGCTTGTTACTACACTCGTAGACAGCACTAAAGTCCCGCATCTTCACGTAATAACACTGTCTTGACTAGTGCGGTTGAATGACATTTGTCCTGGGAGCACTGTACCAATGTGGCGGCGCTATTGACGCATGCTCAGGGTCCCTATGCGATATCTAGTGTATATATCTATGTCACAAATTGAGGAGCGGGGAAAGGAGGTGGGGTGGAGCGACAACGCGGGGAATCCTTCACAAACTGAGGAGCGATCACAAACCTAAAGCGGCGAGAGCGTCAAAGTAGCCAGAAGTCATTCATTTTTAACGAGAACCGGCGGCGAGAAACAGCGGCGAGTCTTTATTGGCTATGACGCGGTTCGGCGGCAAGCAATCAGAATGAAGTAGTCCACCGCTTAAGAGGAGTTCAGAGAACACAGACCTGTGAACTTTGGTTCCGACCACAGTTGTTCCCAAGAGTTTGATTATTGCGGTTGCTGGATTTTCAATTATTGAAAATCGCGACGACGTGGGGCCCCCTAATCACGCGGGGCCCCCACGTGGTGCGTGCCCTTCGGGCCCGTCCGCTACGCCACTGTGGATCAGTGACCGCACGGGCATTCCTGACAAAAAGCTTGTGTTTGTGTGTACAGAAATGTACTATTCACCCTCCCTGTTAAATCTGATCTAATCATGTCCTGAAACACAGCTCCTCTCCTGCTTTCACTGCTCATACTGACGGAGGGAGCGATTCGTTTGTGAATGAATCCCCCGAACGACTCTTTCACTAATGTTAGCCGACAATAATACAAGTTTCTGGCAGCGCAACATCTCGTTGTCATATTTCTTTTGCATTGTTTGCTGATTTTATTCAACAAAACTAGCATAAGCCGAGTGTTTAGTGCCAGTTGGAGCTGCTTTGCCTTATGGTGAATGCAGTAAGAGACTGTTATCATCAATAACGTTACCTGATTAGCACAAAAGTTCAGAACATACAAAAACAGAAAAAAACTTAATATTACCTATGAAATGTTCTGCCTTTGTGCTTTGATTTCTTTGTTTGCTCGTTACTACACTTGCAGACAGCGCTAAAGTCCTGCATCTTCACGTAATAACACTGTCTTCTCTAGTGCGGTTGAATGACATTTGTCCTGGGAGCACTGTACCAATGTGGCAGCGCTATTGACGCATGCTCAGGGTCCCTATGCGATATCTAGTGTATATATCTATGCAACACACCTGCCTGGGTGTTTCAAGTATACCTAGTAACACCTTGATTACCTTGTTCAGGTGTGTTTGATTAGGGCTGGAGCTAAAATCTGCAGGACACCGGCCCTTCAGGAACAAGTTTGGTGAGCACTGTATTAGACCATCTCCATGTTGATGTGGAGCAGTGAGATCAGGTAAAAAGCTGTGTGTGTTTTAGACTCACGTTGCAGACAGTCTGCGTTCAGGAGGTCTTGGCACTTCTCATGGCATTTGACTCCGCATTCGCTACATCTCATGCCCTGGCGAGCGATTCCCCAAAGCAGACCCTCACACTCGTGGCAGTATGTAGGCGCCGTGGCCGTCCACACCTCGAAATTGTGTGGCGTGGTGGAGGAGATGGGATAGATCAGCGCCTGCAGGGTCTTTCTGAGCACGTGCAGTTTCTGAGGAGGAAAGAGAGAGAGTGTTTACCGACATAATAAATGCAAAAACACGTGTATACGCTTATTTCACGCAGCCGGCATTTTAAAGAATCAAAGCGAGGCTGCGGTGGGAAGAAACCCGGAAGTATAGGACCAGCACTGTAAACATTGCAGTGACATGCTGTGGACTACAAACCTCTAGCTATTGTCGAGATTTTCAAAATGCAGAAATGGTGTGAACATCACTTCCATATCATTCAGTAACTTCTATTTAAACACTTTAAAGCAATGTAGCATCAAACAACATCACAGTCTCTGTGATACGCTTAAGTGCCCCCCTAGGCTTCAGTTCATGGTACCAGTTAAACACTTTGGAGACGTTTTCCCGCTTAAGCCTATCCAACCCGGTGAGTAATAAAACACTGCAGTCCTCGTATTGTCTGTAATGAATTTTTCCCGGTACTGAAGTTTTAAATCATTTTTAAAATCTATTTCCCGCTAACATTGAAGCGCCACTGAGCGCGGATGACTCGACTGATCTTCACGGCTGCTTCGCACTCCAGTCTCTGCGTATCTGTGTTTGCACTCAGTTTACCGCTCTTCACCCAGTGTAAACACAGATACACGGAGACTGGAGCGTGAAGCAGCCGGGAAGATCAGTCGAATAAGTAACATTTAAAGGCTTCACTAGGTTAATCAGGGTAAAGTTAGGGTAATTAGGCAAGTCATTGTATAACTATGGTTTGCTCTGTTTTTATTCTAGCCGAAATGAAACAAATAAGACTTTCTCCAGAAGAAAAAGATTTATAGAAATTACTGTAAAAAATTCCTAAATTCAAATTCATACTGTTATTCAATAATAATAACAGTAATAATAATATTAATAATATAATAATAATGACAATAATAATATTAATATTAATAATAGTAATAATAGTAGTAGTAATAATAATAATAATAATAATAATAATAATAATAATAATAATAATAATAATAATAACAGTAATAATAATAATAATAATAATAATAATAATAATAATAATAATAGTAATAATAACAGTAATAATAATAATAATAATAATAATAATAACAATAATAATAGTAATAATAACAGTAATAATAATAATAATAATAACATTAATAATAACAGTAATAACAGTAATAATAATAATAATAATAATAATAATAATAATAATAATAACAGTAATAATAATAATAATAATAATAATAATAATAATAATGGCAATAAAAACAGTAATAATAATAACAGTAATAATAATAAGAAGAAGAACAATAATAATAATAAAAACAGTAATAATAATAACAACAGTAATAATAATAATAATAATAATAATAAAATAATCATAAAAATAAGATTTAATAATAATAATAATAAAATAATATTAATAATAATAATAATAATATTATTATTATTTATATATATATATATATATATATATATATATATATATATATATATATATATATATATATATATATATATATATATATCCTTATTACATAAATTTATTATTACTTTTATTATTATTATTATTATTATTATTATAAACCACAAAAATAGAGCCAAAAATTTGAGGTCATGTCAGGATTTATTTGATGGGCTCATTATTTGTTGTCTGTGGTTTGCTGAAGAGAATCTCTGGTGTCCTTTTGAAGCAGCAGAAACAATGCGCCTGTAAATCTCAGTGTTTCTACAGCTTGATCAGACAAAGAGAGCGAGATGAGAGTGAATGTGGGTCGGTGATGTACAGCTCTCTAAACTGAAGTTTCCCATCATGCATTTCTGCTGAGACGTGTGTTCACAATCATTACACTAAGAGCTGCTGCTTAAGCCGAATGGCTAATAATCAAATAAATAAAGTCAACCGCAGACCACGACTCAGGCTGATTAGCAAAGTAAACCTATAAGAATAGAAGAATGTAGAAAGTTCAGACCCAGCATCGAGTAATGCAGGAATGAGCAGCAGCCAGTGATTAATGGCAGGTGTCTTATAGTTATATAACACACTTAAAGGGGTCAAATCATACATTTGGTCAATTAATTTTCCCCTGAGGTACATTTATGGTGTTAGTCAAGGTTTGATGCACTTTAATAACCTTTCAGTCTCGCACTCTTCAAATTAAACAGGTTGCCTTTTAGTAAAAACACACACACACACACACACACACACACACACACACAAAAGCCTGAATACAAAATGTAAGTTATCTGAATTGCATATAAAATCTCACCAGCGATGCTTCATGTTCATATTTTTCTATGAGATTTTAGATGCATTTCATTCATTCGTTTTCCTTTTTTTTTTCAGCTTAGTCCCTTTATTCATCTGGGGTCGCCACAGAGGAATGAACCACTAACTTATCCAGCATATGTTTTACACCGCAGATGCCCTTCAAGCTGCAACCCAGTACTGGGAAACACCCATACACACACATTTACACTACGGCCAATAAAGTTTCAATTCAATTCCCCTATAGCGCATGTCTTTGGACTGTGGGGGAAACCAGAACCCCTGGAGGAAACCCACGCCAACACGGTGAGAACATGCAAACTCCACATAGAAATGTCAACTGACCCAGCTGGGACTCAAACCCATGACCTTCTTGCTGAAGGCGATTGTGCTTACCACTAAGCTACCGTGTCACCTATATGCAATTCGATTAACTTTAATTGAAATTAAATGAAAGTTTACACTGAAATGAAATTTAAATACCATAAATAAATGAATAATAACAACTTAACAAATTTGTTTAAATGTTTATAAATTAATTAAATAACAGAAATAAATTTAAATAAAACAGAAAATAGGACGGCTCAATAGCCTAGTGGTTAGCTCGCCGACATGATGCAGAAGCATGTCAAAGCGTCCTGAGTTCAAACCCTGGCGCGAGGACATTTCCCAACCCTATCCACCTCTTCTCTCTCTCTCTCTTATTTAGCGTACTATCTAATAAAGGACAAAAAAAATCGTTAAAAAAAAATAGAATTAAAACTACATAAAAATCAATAACCAAATTGTAAAAAAAAAAACATTACAAATATTTCATAGTGAGAGATTAGATTGTAGATTATGATTATGTTGTAATTTTTTTTTTATTAAATAGGAATAAAAATATGTGAAAATCAATAATAAAGTGAAGTTTATTCATAAACTAATTTCGAGCGGATCACGTGCTTATGATTTATCACGGCTGGTCTCGCGTTTGCTAATCACTATCTTCCAATCATATGAGCCCTAAGCTACTATAAATAGCCTCAGTTTTCAGTTCATTTTATCTTCGTTTGGAAGAAACCCCCCTCCTCCCCTATTTTCCTCCTTTACCTCTGATTGGGCGGCACGGCGGCCCAGTGGTTAGCACTGTGAGTTTGTATGTCCTCCCCGTGTCCGCGTGGGTTTTCCCCAGGTTCTCCGGTTTCCTCCCACCATCCAAAGACATTCAACATACATAACAACCAAGCTTTGTCTAATCCCTTGTGTTCCCTTAGCTACCGCAGCAGGGGAGTTCTGAGATCCACCGAGCTCAGGCTCCCCTCTTGCTCTGCCAACGGGAGGAAGCCCCGGGCTCGAGGATCCCTTGAGCTCTTGGCTCTCTCCCGGGACAGCATGCCAAACCAGCTTTTATAAATCATCAGCTAAGTGTGAACTCTTGAAATTGTATAAAAACATTAAAAATATGTCATCGTGAAAGAGAGAGACTAATAGGAAAAAGGTTAGGTAACACACAAAAATTAAATAGGATTAAAACTATGCGAAAATTCATAATCAAAGTGGAAAAAATGAAATGTTTCAAAGTAAAAGTGCAACAAATAAGAAACATTGGAGACATTACATTGTAATTTCATTTTAAAAATGAAATAGGATTAAAATAATATGGAAATCTATAATCAAATATAAAAAAAACATATGAAAGTGGAACTAATAGATATAATGCCGCAATGGTAACACTTTATAATAACTGCACACTCTGAATCATTTATTAAGCATTAGCAAATAGTGAATTCATCATCTGTTAAGCATTAACTCTACATTAATAAGCGTTAGCAAGCAGTTTATAACTGCAGCTACAAATGCTTTATAGCACAATGTGTTAAATAATTGTACTTTCATGCTTAGTTAATGATTTATTTTTCATTACTAAATTAAGTATCGCATTATTTACAAACCTTCTGTATTTAAGAGTAGTTGATGGTTTTTAGGATCATTCAGAATGATTTAGTAAATGATTAATAAACTATTGAAATCAACATTTATATGTCTGATTATTCAAGCACACACTATGCATTGCATCATCATTGGGTTAATGTCATTTGTCATATATCATAATACACTAAAGAAGGATGCATTGGTGAGCTATGAAGTCCACTGGTCATCTCCAGCTGGAGTGATGGCGAAACGTTACGCAGGGGGATTAACAGCTGGAGAAAACCGAAAAGGACTTTCCAATTTAATCAGGCAGCTCTGGAGCGAACAGATGAGCTACGCTGAGAATTAAACACCGGGCGATCAGCCAGAGAGAGAGAGAGAGAGTGAATTTTCAGAGCGGTCAACACTGGACAGAATGAAGGAACACGGGAATTAAAGCACACCCTCTGAAACACATACTACACTGGAAAAAATCGAGAAGTCAACACAAACTGTTTGAGGGAACTGAATGCGGCAAAGCGTTTAAGTTTGAAAACATAATGCTTTCCATTTCCAAATCCATTTCTCAGTGAATATAGACAATGTATTTTGGTATATAAAAAAAACAGATTTATTAAACTGATATATTTATTAAAATGAAATTTTAGTCACCAAACATATTTAGAAATTGAAAGATAATATAATTAAATTCATGCATAATATTCGTTTACTTCAGCCTAGAAATGAAGATCCACCACAGCTTTTTGTGTTCAGGACAGAACAGCGCATGAGTTTGGAGAAAATTTAATGGCGGAATGTTGATTTGTTGTTAACAGAGAGCAGCTTTCTGTTCATGTCTGTGCTCAGCCAATGACA